TAGGGTTTAGGGTTTAGCTAGAGAACTTGAGTCCCTTTAAGGGGTTCATAGCGGGTTTTAGGGGTTTAGGGTTTAGGGTTTAGGGTTTGGAGTTTAGGGTGCGTTTGAGGGTTATCCCCATGATACGGATTGTAATATTTTGGCCTTTGTTTGAGGTTCCTCTGTTCGGGGAAACTACCACCTGAATCCTTAGAGTTTGAAGGATCATGTCGGGACTATATAGGAGTTCGACAAAGGTTCTATTGTTTTTTTGGGTTATATTGGGACTATGGTGGGAATATAGACGAATTCTACAGGGTTTTCTGGGGATTACATGGGGTTTAGGGTTAAATAAAGCTACTATCAGGGAGAATCCATTGGGGAAGAATATGGCACACGAATTTCACACTGGGGTTGTATAGTGATATAGTGTTTTGCTCAAGGAATTTGGATAAAGCTGCCATGAAAGGCGCCCTCAACGGGATTATAGAGTGGCTATATAGGGTTGAGGGTGAAGTTACCAAAGCTTGAAGTACGTTTCAGATTGAGTTCAGTGCTAGGAGGGATTTAGGGCCTACTCAGGGCGTAGTTTTTTTTACACCGGGACTTCAATAATGGAGAACCAGATGGAAAAGAACAGAAAAGTCAAATGGCAACTGGGGTTGTACAGTGTTTGCTGTTAGCAAACTTGACTTACGCTTCTAGAATCGGGGTTATTTTTTTAATGCAAGAGGTTACAGAGTGGTCAGGCTGCCTAGGGCTAACGATTTGACTTACCATTCTATAGATATAGAGTTTTTTGAGTTTCCCCATTACGGTATCTCTAACCTCTACATATCACGTTTAAAGGCAACCCTTATCGCATTTCAGTCCCTGAACAACCCTAAACACCAAACCGCGAACCTTCAACCCTCAACCCTAAACCTGAACCCTAAGCCCTCAACCCTAAACCCTAAATCCTGAACCCTGGCCCCTAAATCCTGAACCCTCAACCCTAAACCCTACACCCTGAAACCCGAATCCCTGAACCCTAAGTCCTGATTTCCTTCAAACAGCAACTCAGGAGAGCTCGAGTTGATGGATGGGAAGATCGCCCCCCACGAGTGCCTCGGAAGTAACCACTTGGAGGTTCAGGGCAAGTATGACCCAAATAGTAAGGGATTTAGGGTTTAGGGATTTAGGGTTCAGGTTTCAGGATTGAGGGTTCAGGGTTTAGGGGTTGATAGGGCATATGTAGGGCCCATTTTAGAGGGTTGAGGGTAAATCTATGCCTGAACTTAGCCCTGGAAGTCCCCTGATATGGTTACAATTGGCTTTTAGGAATCAGTTATAATTGGGTTATAGTCCCCCTTAATTGGGTATGCAGGCCGCCCCTTGTCAGGATGCTGTTGGAATCTTCATTAGTACATGCAGGGTGCGAATCTTGACTTTCAATCATTTCCATTTGAAGTGCTCCTGCATGGTAGGGCCTTGAGCGCTTGCAAACTGAACTCCCAGCAAGCAAGGAACCCCACTCTGTAATGTAAAATTGTATCTGCCAGTGTATGAATGATTTTCCGGGAGCTGTAGAACACTCAGCACGGCGTTGAATCATGACCCATGGTCGTGATATTTGCATGTACCGCTATCATGGTTCTCCTTGCTACAGACGGCCTTGCCTTTGAGTCACTTGTCAAAGCTTGTTTGAGCGTGCTGCTGAGTACCCTTTCCAGGCACCTAAACGTTAAGTGGTAAGATCAATTTCCCAAAGACCGAAATCCATGAACAACCCCAACATGCATACTCCCGAATGGAAAGTTATCCAACTTCTATGTGTTGCCTATGAGGTCATTCCTGTTCTCATGCACCCCTTGCAAAAAGGCACCAACTGTACTCCAATCCAAGACGCAATCCCCCTGCAATGACCCTAAACCCTAAACCCTAAACCGCGAGGAAGATCGAGTGCATCGATCAGGCGCATAGCTCCCTCCAGCGATGCATCGCGGAGTGTCTCAAAGAGTCGCCGAGGCCACTGTTTAGGGTTTTGGGGTTTAGGGTTTTGGGGTTTAGGGTTTAGGTTTTAGGTTTTAGGGGGGAGGACCTCGGTGATCATCGATGTCTCATAGCTTGTGGATGGGTTTATGGGGCTTGAAACGTTCTTTAATTAGTTTCGGGTCTGACTGCTTCTGAAAAGGGGTGCTGAGAAAGGAATTCCGGGAGTACCAAACGTTGCAAGGGTATGACATGTGTCCTTTGGGTTTGTCCCGGAGCTGTTTTGAGAAATGCCCATTCTGTTTTCAAGGGCCTTTTGGATGAATGGTGAGGGCTGCTTGGCAGATGACTTACCAAGGGCAAGGTGTTTAGGTTTAGGGAGCGCTACGCACCAGAAGAGGAGCTGCTTTGATATTCCATCTTTCTAGCAAGTTGAGGAGGTGCTTGATTGTGCACCTGTTTGAAATGCTCATCCTGCCTGGTTCGGCTCCCTGAATCCAGGCTGGTGTCCGTAATTGAACATTAGAGCGAGAATTCCGTGACTGCAGTACTTTTTCAATTTTGTAGACTGTGCGCTTGCTTGCCTCTGATGAGCTTGTCATTCTTAAGCGCTCTGAGACAAAGAACTGTTTCAGTCCCTGCTGGTCCACTGGTCTAGTCTTGCAAGACATCTACAATGAAAAGACATTGCTCATCGTTCCCGCCAAGCATTGGGCAAGGGCGTTGACGGCTGCTTTGACTTGTGGGTGTTGGTCTCATCAGCAATCAGTTCCGGCCATGCAGCACCCTTCAGGTTTAGATTGCATTTTCAATTGCTGCAAGACCAACTGTTCCAGGGTCCTCTTTGCCGAGCAGCAGTGCAGGCAAAAATCTTCCCCGATCGAGATCACGGGTGACGACGTGCTGTCGCTGCCCCTTGCCTGGTTGACGCTTATCGTTCGCTCTCAGATGCCTTTGCTTACATCACAGGAGGCTTCAGGTTTCAGCTTCTGCCCCTCCAGCTTAAAGCCGCAGGTGCCATTGTCAATTTACGAGCGGTTCAGCTTCTGCCCCTCCAGCTTAAAGCCGCAGGTGCCATTGTCAATTTACGAGCGGGGGCATGTCAGACAAACCAAGTCAGGTTAATCCGTTGTAGACGCACGCTCGTGGCAGCCTTTGGGGTAAGTTGAAAGTGGTGAGGACGGGGCAAATGTCCAAAGCGAATCCTGGTCAGAATGGCCAAACTCATGGCAGTCATTCATACCGCACTGCACCACATAGACAGGGCCATTACATAGCAATGCATAGCCCACCCTCAGCCCTAATGTTGACCCGTGATAAATACACCCCCTCTTGTTTAAGGGCCTTAATCCCTAAGGGGAGGGGGTTTATGAGTCGCGGGTTTGGGTTAGAAACCAGAAGATGGTGAAAGGTTCATCCTCGTGGTGTTCCGGAGTCAGGCGGGCAGCCTCTTAAGCAAGTGACTGGCTAGAAGCTAGGGAGAGCCTGGGTCGGTCTGGGGGTCCCAATATAGGCGGTAATAATGCAAAAGAAAATGGAAACTACTATAGTATATTGGAGTTATATAGGGATGATATGGTTTAGGGTTTAGGTTCGGTTTTCGGGTTTATCGGGTTGCAGCAGCCTCTGAGAATTTGCATCTTTCATCCTCTGGCCTTTGGTTAGCTGGGAAGGAAGGAATGGAATAACATGGAAACTACTACAATGGGCTATATAGGGACTACTGTAAGGATCATTTCCGTCATTCCTAGCTAGCCAAAGGTAAGTCCTTGGAGAGCTGTTGCAGAGTGAAGGACTGGCGATGGCCTGTCGGCCATGGGAAGGAATTAGAGCTTGCCCTAGAGTTGGGAAGTTCCTGAAAGCTCCAGTATGCATTGTTCGGGAAATATGGCGCCAGTACATAACAACTTGCCTGCAGGCATGGCCTGGTTGAAGCTCAAGATTTCCTGAGATCGCAGGTGAAGTCCTTCCTGGCACATATCGCCCACGTGGAGATGTGCCTAGGCCCATTTGAGCGCAAGTTGAGGCCGCTCATAACAATAGGGGCCGTGTAGTAGTGGCGATCCAAGCCACTCAACATGGGGGAGCAATTAGTTATACTAGGCTCTTTAAAGATCAAGAGACGTGTTTTGGCGGGGCTTCTTATTACGTACAGTGTCCAGCTTCTGTAATCTGACTTAAAGAGTTTGAGACTGTGTGTCTTTTTGATTTGATTGCTCAAACTTCCTCCTCGGCCCCTAATCCAAACCTGAAATCAAAACAGAAGCCCGGGATTTCAACCCTGCTCCCAATCTCTGAACTGCAGCGCCCCCCACCCCCAAGTCCTAAATTCCATCACAAACCAAAGTGAATCTGAAAAGCATGTCCTGTCGAGGCCAAGATGGGATTTCATATTTGTTTGGCAGAGGTACTTGGAGGGTCAGGGGACTGAGTAAGTATACCTTCAACTTCAGAGAAACCATAAAATGAATCGAGTTACCGCCCCGCCCATTTTATACTACTTACTAAGTTCCCGAACCCTCCATACCACCACTATACAGACCTAGTGTTCATTTCATTTCCCAACTTGCTTTATCATGTGATTCTCCATTCTGTAATTCCTATTCTAAACCGTACAATCCACCCAAAGACTATATCAAACCCTAAATGCTACATATCAAGCCCTAAACCCTATGTCCAAGCCTAAACTATATCAAGCCCTAAACCCCAATCCCTGAATCCTAAACCCTGAATCCTAAACTCCTAAACCCTAAACCCCTAAACCTAAATTTTTTAAACCCAAAACCCTAAACCCTAAACCCCAAACCCCTAAACCCTAAACCCCTAAGACCCTAAACCCTAAAGCCTAAACCCAAGTGAGCTGAGGTACTTGCAGGGCTCCTCGAGCCGTTCCGGGAGCAGCGAGGCGGAGCGCAATCGGGAAGGTAGTTATGACCCGATTCTAGGGTTTAGGGTTTAAGGTTTAGGGTTTAGGATTTAAGGTTTAGGGGTTAGGGCGTTCAAGGGGATGTAGGGGTTATATAGGGGTATTTAGTGGGATAAGGGAAAAGGAAATGGAATCCCAGTTACAAGGTTCTTGTAGAGGGCTTGCACAGGGTACATCAACTAGGGGACCTGGAGGGTTTATAATTGGGTTATAAGTGCAATTATATTCGGCATATACTTGCCATTGAACATTCACATATTTCCTCCAACCAAATAACAGAGGCTCTGAAGATATGGGGGAATGTGCGTTGAACAAGGAGTCTTGTGCTAATTTCCCAAATAGGGGGACCCCAACATAGACCCAAATATACTATAATCCTTGTTATGGGGACCCCCAACGTGGTACCCTTAATTTTGGGAAACTCCCATATATCCCTATATAGACCCTATTTATATAACCCCAATACAAACCCAAAACCCTAAACCCTTTAGTAGCTTCCATTTTCTTGTCCA